AAATATCAATTTATCTCAAATATAAATTTGACGGGGGATTTTTGGTAATGTCAATTTGGTAACGACAATTTGGTAATGACAATTTGGTATTGACAATTTGGTAAGGTGACAATTTGGTAACGACAATTTGGTAATGACAATTTGGTAAGCTCACAAAAGTGACAATTTGGTAAGGAAAAATTGGTAACGACAATTTGGTAATGACAATTTGGTAAGCTCACAAAAGTGACAATTTGGTAATGACAAATAGGTAACTACAAAAAAGGAACAATTTGTTAATAACATTTTGGTAACTACAAAAAAGTGACAATTTGTTGATAATCTATTTATGTAAAGAAGATCATTTTCCGTACATTTGAGTGCATTCAGAGTTAAGAACAGAACCAATTATTAAATAACAGCTTGAAAAAATTTTATTGGATGCTTTCCTGTTTTAACTACCGCTGTTTGAACTATATTGTTCTTTGAACTACTACACGTGGCCGGTACCCATGAGATAGTTCAAACAACCAACTTCAACCAATTTTGTTTCATGTTCATTTGAACTATTTTTTTGTTCATTTAACTACTTTTCATTTGAACCCCAAATTACCAGTAAAAATAGTGCAAATGAACATAAAATAGTTCCAATGAACAAAAAAAATAGTTAAAATAAACAAAAAAAATAGTTAAAATGAATAAAAACTGTTTAAATGAACATAAATATTGTTCAATTGAACAAAAAAATATTTAAAATGAAAAAACAGTTAAAATAAACAAAAAATAGCTCAAATCTATATATAAATTTGGCTTGTTTGTCTGTCTGTCTGTCTGTTTGTCTGTTTGTTTGTATCCAATAAACGTCAAAACGGCTGAACCGATCGGGCCCAAATTTTTTGTGGGACATCTAGGGAGCCCAGGGAAGGTTTATGAATCATCAAAATTTCAAATATTTGTCTCTATCAAAATTCGATCGTCATTAAATTTTTTAAAATTTTGAAAATCCGCGAAATTTTTTGTAAAAATCCGCGAATTATTTTTGTTTAGTTTTACGATGTACACAAAGAGAACATGTTTACAATTAATTTAGAAGATGGGCGCGAAGCGCCCTCTAAGGCTAGAAAGAAGGGCGCGAAGCGCCTTGAATTTCTAGTCAATATAAAAATAGTTCAAAAATAGTTAAAATAAACAAAAAAAAAGATGTTTTTAAAATAAATTCAAATAAATTCCTGAGTCTAAATGAAAAATAGTTTGTAGGAACAAAAAAATTTGTAGACTATTTTTTGTTCATTTGAACTATTTTTATGTTCAAATATGATCTAAAATGCAGCCGCGCTTGCTCAGAAATTGTCTAAAACTTGGGCTAACCCTGAAATAATACACATTTGAGCAATATTTTTGGAATAATTTGAACTATTTTTATGTTCATTTAAACTAATACCCAACAAACAAAAACCCGCGAAGAACACAAGATTATTTGGTGTATTTCACACGAGTGACACACGAGTGACCCGTCAATATCCCGTGATAAATGTTGTCGAGGTGAATGTCGACGATTTGATCACGGGTCTAGGACCGAGTTTTTACACGGTGAAAACTTGAGTTTATTTCACAAGATGAACATGGGATTTTTACATGAGGAAACTATTTTTATCCCATCTACTTTAATTAAATTTTTTAAAGCCCACAGGAAAGGGGGGGATATATAATTCATTTCTGATATATAAATATATTATAAAATTTACTGTGTAAAAGTATATAATTATTACAAAATGTTTAGAAACTAAACATTTTAGTTTATATCTTATACATTAAACATCTTGAACATGTAAACTTTAAACTATTCTTATCGCAAAGTGATATTTCAAGTCTAAATAATGTTCATTTCTAAAAGATGAGACCCCAACTCTATTAAAAATGAAACATGAAGTTCTTCCCGTAGGCCGTAATATTTACGAGAATTAAAATAAAAAAATTCTGGCATTGCATTACTCGAGTTTAAGACGATAGGAATACAGGGGTGTACGAGTTCTTTTGTTTAGGGGGGGCAACAAATTTTTTGCGTCCCCCCCTTGGCAACATTGTGCCCCCCCCCCTAAAAACCCATTTTTTGAAGAAATATTGATACCTTTTTTTATTTTTTTGGCCCCCCTCTCTTTATAACTTTTTAACTTTATAAATTTTTCACTTAACTCCATCACAGCTAACTAAATCAATAATAACAGCATCATTAAAAATTATATTTTTACTAATAAACGAAATTTCTTCTGAAATTTTTACTTTTTAGATAGAATTTTCTACAATTTTCTGGAAATTTGCTTGCACAAACATCTCCATGTTTTTTTTCAGTAGAGAGCTCAGACAGCCTTATAGGGTGTAAAGCTGTAAGTGCAAGATCGTTAATTGTCTGCTCTCCGTCATAGTACATCTTGTTAAATAAAGTATTCTCTTTAGCAGGCTTATACTTCTCTCTCCTTGTAAATTAACAGTGAATTTAGTCAAATCCTTAGTCTTAGTCATTGTCAGGTGTTACTTTTTAAACGTAGTTTCCTTTTAATTTTGTATTTTCCATACCATCCGACCTACAAATGTGTACATCCGACCTACAAATGCATATATCCGACCTACAAATATATGTAAATCCGACCTACAATCGATAAACATCCGACCTACAAATATGTGTACATCCGACCTACAAATATGTAAATCCGACCTACAAATATGTAAATCCGACCTACAATCGATGACCATCCGACCTACAAATGCATATATCCGACCTACAAAAGTGTAAATCCGACCTACAATGGATGACCATCTGACCTACAAATGCATATATCCGACCTACAAAAGTGTAAATCCGACCTACAACCGATGACCATCCGACCTACAAATGTGTGCATCCGACCTACAAATGCATATATCCGACCTACTAAAGATGTAAATCCGACCTACAATTGATGACCATCCGACCTACAAATGCATATGTATCCGACCTACTTAAGTGTAAATCCGACCTACAATTGATGACCATCCGACCTACAAATGCATATGTATCCGACCTACTTAAGTGTAAATCCGACCTACAATCGATGACTATCCGACCTACAAATAATTGTACATCCGACCTTGCAGTAGGTCGGATCAAACAAAAGTTTTTTGAATTAAGGTGCAACTGACCTATAGTTTAACAGACCTACAGCAGCTAAAAAGCAGCTGGAAAACCACGTGCAAGTAGGTCAGAAGTGTAATATAGAGGATATGCGTAGGTCGAAAAATACACCACCCTAGTAACCATTTACTGCGTGTAACAGCGGTGTTTACAAGGGACATGATACAGGGTGTCCCAATAAACATGGGAATTCATTGACGAATTGGATATCGTCTTTATAAATAAGTCTTTGATTTAATGTAGTGATACCTGGTGAGAAAGCTGTAATCTGTAAGAATTTCGTCTGCTATGTCCACATTTTGTTTGTTTATTTTTGACTGCCATGCGATTGTACTTAATAAACAAGAAATTTATAGTATACCAAGGCAGTATACAAACAGAGTAAACTTGTCCGTTTTCACTGTTCATCTTTTGGAGACATTATTAACACATGTTTACAGTCTTTTACAGTTTTCAACTCTTAGGTAATCCAATGCTAATTCATAACAAAGACCCAGCACAGAGATTTGGGGACCCAGCTTTTCCTAAAATCTAACCTTTCCCAGTAAAAGTCGACAAATTACCAAATTCAGAACATTTTCGTGTTTCTACCAAGGTCCCATCAAAAATTGAGGCAATTTGCTCAAGGGGGTTATAAGTTACGATCGGACATACAAACATACAGAGATTACTACTTCATTACATAGATTAATAATACAGGTACAGTTGTTAATCGTCATGGCTCGTTTTTATAAACTTTAAAACTACCAACATTTCTATATTGTATAATAACTGCTCCAATAGCCACATCACACACTCTCTCGCGCGGCTGTGATAAAGAGAGATTAGGGATGATGGCCTCAATAGCCTCTTCTATTTCCTTGATTTCTCCGGCCCAGTCATCCTACTCTGGATTCTCCAGTACTGCTCTCAGACATTCGGCAAGATTGGATTGTATTCTGTTAAACTTTGCAATATCTTCATTCGGAGTAAAAATATGAAAAATACGAACCAAACAAAGTATTTTTTTTTTGGGTTGATTCTGGTTAATTTTTTGCAAATATTTTCATTCAGGGTCTATAATTTTTGTGTAACCTCTCACGAGTCCTAAACCCCCTTAAAAACGATTAACCACCCTAAACGGGATTATTTGTAAAATGAGGAGTGAGACAAGTGACCTGTAAATTGGTAAATATGTTCTACTGCCTTGAATAAAGACCTTTGGAAGTAATAAGTTTACCATATATGATTTTACAAAACAACAAATGCTGGAACCAGGGTTTCCACGAAATAACGATATTTTTTGTGCAACGTTAATTTGTACGCAAAAAAAATATCTTTAAAACCAAAATTGAAAGTTTCAGCACAGAATCAAACAACTGAAGGTTTATTAAGAAACTTAGGCACAAACAAAATTATGATTATGCTATTTTGAATTGGTTACTTTTAGTTACAAAAACTTCAAATTGAGAATCAAAAATTAATCAAATATGGCCTTTGGATTTTACCTCACAAATCAGTAATTATTAATAGGCAAGTAAACTGTTCCTTTTTAAGCAATGCAAATATATACCAAAAAGTTCAATGTTATAGATAACTAATATATACAATTGGCACCTTTAATCAACCTTTTAATGAGAAAATGTCCCGTAAAATTGCGCAAAACAAAATTAATTAAAAGCAGAATAGCGCAATTTTGCGCAAAAGGCAATTTTTTCGCGCATCATAAGCAAAAAATTCACTCTCTTTCGCTAAAATTGAGCAAAAGTTTTGCAAATGAAAACCCTAGCTGGAACCATGACTGCCGGGGCAGGGGAACAGACTTAATAGATTCTGTGAAGTCGTCTCTGCAGGTTCTAATGATAACTCTGTCTGTATTTCTACATCCAATGTTGGTGCAGTAATTATTTTTATTTCGTTTATTTCTATTTTTATAAAAAGCATTAATTAGTGTACTTTTGGAAATTATTTTAAAAATAAAAACTTGAGTTAACATTTAGTAGTTTAAAAAAGGAAGATTTCCGACTGTGTTTCATTTTCTGAAAAAAGAATCATACTTAAAGTCGCTTGTTATTAAGGAATGTGTTACAAATTTTTACAATGTACAGTTTTTTTTGTTTGTTACCTAAATGAACAAGGATTCCCTGCCCCTCCTGAAGGTGTATTACAGGTCGATCCACTAAACAAATTTCTCATTGCATTAATAAAAACATTTTAAAGATGTTAGTAACTTTCGTTTTTTTTCTTGTTCTGCTTTAATTATTTTAGTACAGTACAGTACAGAACAGTACAGTACAGTTCAGAACAGTACCGTACAGTACAGTACAGAACAGTACAGTTTAGTACAGTACAGTACAGTACAGTACAGTACAATACAGTACAGCACAGAATAGTGTAGTACAGTACAGTACAGTACAGTACAGTACAGTACAGTACAGTACAGTACAGTACAGTACAGTACAGTACAGTACAGTACAGTACAGTACAGTACAGTACAGTACAATACAGTACAGCACAGAATAGTACAGTACAGTACAGTACAGTACAGTACAGTACAGTACAGTACAGTACAGTACAGTACAGTACAGTACAGTACAGTACAGTTCAGTACAGTACAGCACAGTACAGTACAGTACAGTACAGTACAGTACAGTACAGTACAGTACAGTGCATTTTAGTACAGTGCAGTACTGTACGATAACACTTTCCAGAATTCATTTGAGTAAATCACATAGACATCCTGTAATTCTATTATAATTTTCAAGAATTTTTTATTTTATTATTTGGCCAGTGCTTAGGATTCGGATCCGCAACATTTTGGCATCCGGGATCCGGATTCAAGGGGCAACATATCAACCAAACACTGTAAAAAAAGAACTTTCTCCTCTCAAATCCGTTAAAAAGCGAGATTATTAAAAATTTCTTCCGTTCCAAATGGTTTATCAAGTTGTTAGCCTAAAAATAAGCGGAAAAAGAACAAAAATAGTTTAAAAATTCTGTTGTTATAAATCAATAAATACAAAAACGTCCATAACCTGGATCCGGATCCATTTTTTTAACATGAAATGGGATCCCAAAGGGACTGTTATGGTAAAATGAAAGGGGGTATAGGCTGAAGCGTAAAAATTTTAGGAGTTGATCACGACCAATATTAGTTGTAAAATTCGGTGATGGTGATGGACCAAACCTCTGTAGAGTAAAAAAAGTAGATGTTAGTTCCACATTTATTGAAAATATATTTCAGTCTGGGTTGATCCTCGTCATTCTTGAGATTGTGCTGGTGTCCCTGTATCAAGAAATTGATTTAAAACTACTTCAAAGTTATGCCAAAACTAATATATATGAGATTTGGTATGTGAATCAAAGTTTTAAACAGATCATATTCAGCAAATACGCAACTAGTCTGAAATTACGATTACCCAGAGGTTCCTAAACTCGTATTATAATTTAAATAGAATATTAATTTTTATGTATCAAATGACCTTAAGTTCCACCAAAGGCGGTGCAGTATCTGGTCACGTGGCAATGTCTGTATCATGTGACCGGAATTGTCACCAACGGCTCCGACGGCCATACGAGATTTGGTATAACTTTGACACAGTTTAAATCAGTTTCTCGAGACAAGGACATCAGATAGAACTAATATCGGACGCGATCAACTTAAAAATGTTTAAGCTTCAGCCTATAACACCTTCCAGTTTACCTTAACAGTCCCTTAACCCCTGATTATTCCTATATATTATGCAGTGTACCCAGTACCTCAGTAAACATTGAAAATTATCTCCACAATCACATTCCTCTCCTTCCTCTAATATTCCGTTACCACAGAAAGTATCAGAATATTCCTACAAAATATTATCCAAATGTTAAGATTAAATACCATAAAAAAAACAGTTTATTTTAAAGTTCTCCGGATAAATGGGAACCTTGAAGAGCAACATTTAAACAGTAAAATTGTTGATATAAAATGTGGCACGAAGCGCCCTAAAAGCCTATTGAATTAGCATCAGATGTTACCTTTAAACATTTTGTTCGATGTTCAGCATTCAGAACGTTTTTAACAGATTCCTTAACAACAAGAAAAATAAAGATAAAAATGTAAAGAAAAGAAATCGCAGTTTTAGAACTGTTCAAAATTCTAATTTTGATTTAATTTTTTTACATAGTGATTTAATAACTAGATTATCAAGGATATATCGCAGATATATAAATTACAAATATATGAGGAGAATAAGGCGATATATGATAAATTTGATCGTAAATTGAAGGATTAAAATTAAATCATCTCAAAACCTAGAATATCAGTGGAAAAGTTTAGATATTTTGTTATCTAAACAAAACATATTTTTTATCTAAACAAAATATGTTTTGATCACAGTTCACAACTCTTTTAAATATAAGTATTTACAAATTGTTTACGTTTCAAAGTTGCTCAATTAAGGTACTGTTTTTTTTGCTTTTTGCGAAAAAGAATAATTATTTTTGGCTAAATCTGGTGAAAATAAAATCTGTATTCAGTAATTAATTCTTAACAATTCATTAAAATATCCTAACAGTTCCTTTAATCCTTTAATCCTTTGAGCAGGAGGATAATGTTAAATATACCTGAGAGCAGGAGGATAATGTTAAATATACCTGAGAGTAGGAGGATAATGTTAAATATACCTGAGAGCAGGAGGATAATGTTAAATATACCTGAGAGCAGGAGGATAATGTTAAATATACCTGAGAGCAGGAGGATAATGTTAAATATACTTGAGAGCAGGAGGATAATGTTAAATATACCAGAGAGCAGGAGGATAATGTTAAATATACCAGAGAGCAGGAGGATAATGTTAAATATACTTCAGAGCAGGAGTAATGTTATAAATATACCTGAGAGCAGGAGGATAATGTTAAATATACCTGAGAGCAGGAGGATAATGTTAAATATACCTGAGAGCAGGAGGATAATGTAAAATATACCTGAGAGCAGGAGGATAATGTTAAATATACCTGAGAGCAGGAGGATAATGTTTGATGGTTATGTTTTCTTCCATTGTTAGAATATTTTGACATCATAAACCTGTTAAAGGGAATGTAAGCGAAATTTCAAATGACCCTCCATGCAAAGATGGCAATGCCTGATTTACAATTCGGTACTCTTAAAAGCTTTGTCTGATCAACAACTTCAGTATTTCTGATCAGATTAAGGTTTCAAGGGTACCGTTGTAAATTGGCATTGCTATCGTTGTATAGAGTCTCACTTAAATTACGATTACAGTCGCTTTAAACACAAGAATAAGACTTTATTAACGACAATGATCTGAATGGATAAACTTAGTCTTATGTCTGCTTAATACATATTTCTGGAGGAAAAATTAAAAATTTAAACTTTTATTTATTTTGAACATAAATGTACGTACGTTGTACCTTCCGTTTTGTAGATAATCTGTAGGAGTACATGGTGGACCGTCAGAGTCATGTTTAGCACCTTGTACAGTTTTTAAGTACATTAACTTCAAGGGACTATACGCGTAATTTTAAGTGACCCTGCATGCAAAGATAGCAATGCCCGATTTACAACAGTGCCCTTGAACCCTGAATATGATCAAAAAGTAAGAAATGCGAAAGTCACTTTCACAGAAAGACCACAAATGAAAATAAACAGTTTAAATAATGAAAGCATGCATATCTAATTTATACTTGATCAGACAAAGCTTTTAAAGGTACCGTTGTAAATCGCGCGCTGCCAACTCCGCATGGAGGGTCACTTGAAAGTTGAACGGTAAAAATGGCCAAAATATACTTTAAAATTTGAAAAAATAAGATTTAATTATTTGATTTTGTTCAGTAAAATCTAAAAATCTGATATCTTACCAAAACCATGCATAAATTCATGTACAAGGTTCAAAACAGCCATTCTGATTGGTATTCTAAACATTCTGATTGGTATTCTAAACATTCTGATTGGTATTCTAAACATTCTGATTGGTACTCTAAAAACATTCTGATTGGTTATACTCTAAACATTCTGATTGGTATTCTAAACATTCTGATTGGTATTCTAAACATTCTGATTGATATTCTAAACATTCTGATTGGTATTCTAAACATTCTGATTGGTGCTCTAAACATTCTGATTGGTTATACTCTAAACATTCTGATTGGTATTCTAAACATTCTGATTGGTACTCTAAACATTCTGATTGGTACTCTAAACATTCTGATTGGTATTCTAAATATTCTGATTGGTATTCTAAACATTCTGATTGGTATTCTAAACATTCTGATTGGTATTCTAAATTTTTTAAAGTTTAAAACTTTTATGAAAATGCACTGAGTTTTCATATGTAAAAAATCAAAGTTTATGTTGTCAGAAAAATATTAAAATAAATAATTTAAAGATAAAATTCTCTTGCCTGGATTGTTGTTTTGATTTGAAGGTTACAAACAGAGAATTAAAACTATACGTTTTATTATCTTCGTTGTACCTTAATCAAATTGTTAATTTTTTTCAAGTTTTTAAGATTATCATTAGTCTAGACGTTGCCATAGGGTATATTTTCATAATTTTTTCATGATCCATCCTAAATCCTAATTTTCAAAGAACCCTTTAAAGTTTTGATATATTAATGCATTTATTTTTAAAGTAAGTATCGGACTTGTTTGTTAATTTATCAGGATCCAATTAACATAAAAATGGCAAAATTTGGAATATTTACGCCTAAAATTAATGTCAATTTTAAATTTGCAAGCTTGTATAGCCGGCCAAACGGCTGGACCGATTGGGCTGAAATTTTTTGTGGACACTCATGGGTGGCCGGGGGGGGGGGGCGGGGGTTTTAGGCTAAAAATAATTTAAAAAATATTTCTTCAATTTTTTTTGTTTCAAAATTTTTTTTTTCAATTTATTTTTCCACGGGAAACATATATGTTGTCTCTAGCCAACCAAACGGCTCGACCTAATGGGCTTACATTTTTTGTGGGCAATATATTTTTCTTTTAAATATTAAAAAAAAAATTTTTTTTTATTTTCACGGGCAATGCCGGGCCCTTCAGCTAGTTATAATTAATATTGTAAACCTGGTTCTTTGTTGACAGATGCCCCCAACCCCTCCAGGTTTTGGATTACCCCTCCAGGATAACCCTAGCACCAAATCTGGAGATATATAAAAACTGATCAATAATAGGAAGGATAACCGTCGATTTTTCATTAATTATGCTAATTTCTCCATTGTTTCTTGTACGTAATAAATACGCAATAAAAATGAACAGGCAAAAAAAGCAAGGATATCAAATTCACACTAGATCAGACAAAGCTTTCAGGACAAGTTAAAAATTTGGACATTATCATTTTTACATGATGAATCACATGAAATTACGCTTACTTAAAGTACCTTAAGCTTACCTTCGAACACTCTGCTTGTGAAGAGAAGTCCCAGACAGTATTTATTAAAGTTATACCTGGCACAGCGAGGGTTTCTTTATATGAATATCCATAGTAAAATACTATAAAATCTTACTTTTGCCCTTGACGAAAAAATTTTCATTAAAAAAAGCTTTAATCAATACTACAACACTTGTTATATGGAAGTGTGTATATGATCGAATAGTTTACATACAGTTAATCCCAGATATATGAATAAATACCAAGAGTTTTTTATAATGTCGTATTACATATTTAAGATCAAATGCCGCGGAAAAATGAGATCAATATTACAATTGCATTCATATTTCAGTGCTATTAATTAACCTTGAATTAGAAATAAAAAGAAGTTTTTTTAGAATTATCAAAAAAAAACTTATGACGGTCAATGTATTCATATATCATGGATTCACTGTAGTTAAAAAAGGTATTTTTTTCAAAAAATGGGGTTTAAAAGGGGGGGGGGAAATGTTGCCAAGGGGGGTCACAGACATTTTTTTGGCCCATGCTCTGATCCATATTTGGTTTAATATCTGTATTTTCAAATGTTTCGATAAAACTTATCGTAGTAATAAATAAAATAATGATAATAATAATAAAAATTAATAATGTTTTTTTTTGATACCCCTAACCTAGAGAACTTGCGAAGAAAATCCTCTGGTGAAGGATAGTTTTTAGTCAGAATATTACTGCTCGAACTTTCAGATTCAAAGATAGTTATGGAACTAACCTAGAATATATTCAAGGATAGGTATAGCACTAACCTAGAATGTATTTAAGGATAGGTATAGAACTAACCTAGAATATATTCAAGGATAGGTATAGAACTAACCTAGAATATATTTAAGGATAGGTATAGAACTAACCTAGGATATATGTAAGGATAGGCATAGAACTAACCTAGAATATATTCAAGGATAGGTATAGAAAAAACCTAGAATATATTTAAGGATAGCTAAAAGGACCGTTTACTTATTTGGGTGATTTCAGGGTAAACTAAATATTGCTATTTACTTTTCAAAGATAACTTTGGCTAGAGAAAAAAGCCAATTTATCCGGCCAAAACCTTTAGAAAATTAAAATGTACTTTTTGACACAAAAAAATATTTTTTTAAATAGCATAAATTTTATAAACATATTTGTAAAAATACATATACCTCAAAACCAACGCAGTCACTTTTTCCGTCATTATCAAAATCCTTAAATACTTATTTTAATTTTTCATGTTTAATGAGAAAATGGTTTGTTTTGAAATTTTCCTACTTTTGTTTGGAAAATGGTATTTGCCTCCTTGACGTAGTAGAGCATAATCATTATGGTGTTCCTCAAGGATCCGTTCCCAACCTCCTGATAAACATTTTAAACAGTTTATTTAAAGGGACTCTAAGCGTAATTTTAGGTGACCCTCCATGCAAGATGTCAATGCCCAATTCACAATGGTACCCTTAGAAGTTTTGTCTGATCAAGTATAAATTAGATATCAATGTTTAAAAACTAATTATTTTCAATTGTGGTTTCTCTACAAAAGGGACTTGCGCATTTTTACTGCAGAACTATTTGAAATAAACACTTACAAACTTCGAGAAATAAAGATATCTTCCACATCATTCAGCAGATAAAGGTTGTGAATTGAGAATGCCATGACATTTTTGCATTTAGGTCATTTATGCGAACACTCACTTTACATCTACTTTTTGTATTAATTAACCAAATTCAGTCAGATAAAGAAACTGGAATTACTCGTCACAAAGTAGTTTGATGTATTTTAAACTACTACTTATTGATATAACCGAATTTAAATATAAAATCAGTTTGTAAAGATATGAGGATAAGAGTTTGGAGAACGAAAAAAATCCGGCTTTAAAATCAAAAGTTAAAAGTTAGAGTTGTTATTTAAAAAAGGAGCGCAAAGCTTTCTTAAAGTCTAGTCAGTTACAGGGTGTCCCACGAAGCATGACAGTTGGTAAATAGAGAATGTCTTCTTCCATAATTTTTTAAGTTGTTTAATACCAAAGACAATAATAAAAATATTATATAGGAGTAATATCATAGTAAAATTAATTTCAAAGTAAAAAATATTTGAGCAAAAGATTTTTTAAACGAAATAAATTGCAAACAGCTTTTAATATTTAATACAGTGTATGGAATACGACATTCAAAACTATTTACCAATTGTCATGTTTCGTGGGACACCCTGTATCATAATGATGAAATCGGAGTTTCAAAAAAGGCAAGGAAAAGTACCACATTTATCACATATAGACAAAACTTTTACTTTTTTCTCTTACGCCTTTTTTATTTGATCAACAAATAAAATAATTCTTGAATTCTTAAAAGCCTTTGTAATCAAGTAATCAAGCTTCTGTAATCAAGTAATCAAGCTTCTGTGATCAAGTAATTAAGCCTTTGTGATGAAGTAATCAAGCGTTTGTGATCAAGTAATCAAGCTTCTGTGATCAAGTAATCAAGCTTCTGTGATCAAGTAATCAAGCCTTTGTGATAAAGTAATCAAGCGTTTGTGATAAATTAATCAAGCGTTTGTAATCAAGTAATCAAGCCTTTGTGATCAAGTAATCAAGCTTCTGTGATCAAGTAATCAGGCTTCTGTGATCAAGTAATCAAGCCTTTGTGATCAAGTAATCAAGCGTTTGTGATAAAGTAATCAAGCGTTTGTAATCAAGTAATCAAGCCTTTGTGATCAAGTAATCAAGCTTCTTTGATCAAGTAATCAAGCTTCTGTGATCAAGTAATCAAGCTTCTGTGCTCAAGTAATCAAGCGTTTGTAATCAAGTAATCAAGCCTTTGTGATCAAGTAATCAAGCGTTTGTGATAAAGTAATCAAGCGTTTGTAATCAAGTAATCAAACCTTTGTGATCAAGTAATCAAGCTTCTGTGATCAAGTAATCAAGCTTCTGTGATCAAATAATCAAGCGTTTGTGATCAAGCAATCAAGCCTTTGTGACCAAGTAATTAAGCGTTTGTGATCAAGTAATTAAGCCTTTGTGATCAAGTAATCAAGCGTTTGTGATCAAGTAATCAAGCGTTTGTAATCAAGTAATCAAGTCTTTGTGATCAAGTAATCAAGCGTTTGTCATCAAGTAATCAAGAGTTTGTTATCAAGTAATCAAGCGTTTGTAATCAAGTAATCAAGCGTTTGTGATCAAGTAATCAAGCGTTTGTGATAAAGTAATCAAGCGTTCAAGTAATCAAGCGTTTGTGATAAAGTAATCAAGCGTTCGTAATCAAGTAATCAAGCGTTTGTGATCAAGTAATCAAGCGTTTGTGATAAAGTAATCAAGCGTTTGTAATCAAGTAATCAAGCGTTTGTGATCAAGTAATCAAGCCTTTCTGATCAAGTAATTAAGCCTTTGTAATCATGTAATTAAGCCTTGGCGATCAAATACCTGAAAAAATAGATCGTCTGCTATCAAGGAAAGAGAACACTTCTTCTGATTTGGTTTGGCAAACTTTTCCGTGGTGCTGTTCATATTTTTCGAACCTGATGTGTTTCCGGAACTTTTTTCTTGACTCTTGACAACATTTGCAATATTTTCGGAATCCTTTACGTGGTTTTCCAAAAGTTTCTTGATGGGGTTTATGGAACTATCGTCTTTATTAATTCTTGTGGCTTTTTGGAAACTTGGAATTGTGCTGTTTTTGGAACTTGCGTTGTTTCCGGAACCGTTTCCGGATTTTGACATGTTGGCTCCAATGGAATTCTCTAATTTCGTAATGTTATTTGTCTTTCCCGCGGCAGTAATCTGTTCACGTAGCATTTTTTCGGAACTTTTAACATTTTCAGATTCTATAACATTTTCAGGGCTTGCAGGATTTTTTGTGATATCTTTAGAATCTTTGAAATCCTTGGAAGTATTCTTGTAATCTGTTGAATTTTTGGAACTAATGGTTTTCTCGGGATTTGTTGTTATATTTTCGGAATCTGTGCTATTTTTGTTGCCGTTTGTATTTTCCGGAACTGTGGAATTTTCCGAACCTGTCTCATTTCTTGAATTAGTTTTCGAACCCTGGGATCTTCTTGTTCTACTGTTTACGGTTTTGGTTCTACCTTAAACACAATTTTTATCAGTGTAGACTTCGATATTTCATTTAAAATTAAATACCCCTGCAGAGACGAGATAAATCCATAATTTCAAGTGACCCTCCATGCAAAGATGGCAAGGCCTAATTTGAAACAATACCCATGAAAACCATTATCTGATCTATAATGTGGAAGATATCGTCGTGTTTTAAGGTTTAAATCGGATAATTCTTATTTTTTTCTCCAGTAGAAATGATTCACTTTTGTAGAGAAACTCGCGATTAAAGATAACCAAAATTTCTAAGTTTAAAATAATAAACATTGATATCTAATTCATATGTGAATCGAACATTGCCATTTTTGTATGGAGGGTCACTTGAATTTACGCAAATGGTCCCTTTAACCGGCCCTTTCGCGTAGATTAAGAAACGTGGGTGTTCATATGCAGCCCAAGTCATATTTTTTAAATTTTCTTTAAAGTCTTATTTTCGTGTAAAAATACAATTATGTTTCATAGAAATTAAAAAACAGAAATCAACTAAATTTATTAAAATCAAATAATTTTTTAAAGGTATTTTTATTGTATTTTCTTCAAACTTGTTCTTTATTTATTTACAGCCCAATCTAAGTATATATAAATTATTTATAATAAACATACCAGAGCTATTCTGTGCAATATTGAACAAGCTGGTGGTAACCTAATAAAGAAATAAAAATTTAATTGCAGTCTATATACGGTCCCCCCCTCTCCCCAACCCCCCCCCCCCCCAAAAAAAAAATATATATCTATTAAATCTAGGAAATTTAAAACTATACTGGACATTTTAAACCTAAAATTAAAGTTGGAATCCGTGTCCGTTTGAAAAATATCAAAAATGTAAAAAGAATGAATTCAAACTGAATTTTAGAACAAAAGAACATTTTCTCCGTAACAAATTTTATGATTTCCGACCTGAGCTGGAAACTTTTGTATTGTGGATATCGAGATCAAAGCTTGATCTTGTTGTTAATCTGCAGATTAATCTAATCTTTTTCAATATCCCGCAAGTTAATAGTGCCCTGGAGGAATGACAGAAATGAAGAGATCATGCATAAATCCTTGAACTAAATGTCCCCACACTGGATATCAAGATCGAACAATAGAGACTATGAGTATCAAACACTAAAGTTCTCAGCTCAGAATGATTCGGCTAATTGTTTCCATTGTTGTTAAAAATATACCTTGACAGGATCAATGAAATTATACCTTGACAGGATGAAAATATACCTTGACGGGATCAATGAAAATATACCTTGACGGGATCAATGAAAATAAACCTTGACAGGATCAATGAAAATATACCTTGATAGGATCAATAAAAATATACCTTGACAGGATCAATGAAATTATACCTTGACAGGATGAAAATATACTTTGACGGGATCAATGAAAATATACCTTGACGGGATCAATAAAAATAAACCACCTTGACAGGATCAATGAAAATATACCTTGATAGGATCAATAAAAATATACCTTGACGGGATCAATGAAAATATACCTTGACAGGATCAATGAAAATATACCTTGACAGGATCAATGAAAATGATTTGGTTCTGAACTATTAAATAACCAAAGAAGGTTGAGTTTACAAGATAACCGCTCACACTGAAACAAATAATTCAAATTAATAAATTTTCAGACATTTTTCTAAAGTTTTTTGAAGAGTTGATACTTAATACTGATACCTTGACATTTCTTCTCCTAAAACATATCCATCCACATATCCAAGCTTTAGCCTGAATATTTCATCATTCAAATATAATTACTTATTTTATAATTTATGGTTCGGATTTTTGAAAAAGGACCTTTCTATTTTAACCAGATTTTATCCTGCAATGTGGTCTAAAAAAGTTCAAAAAAATGAGAAAAAAATTAAGCAAATTCTTAATTGCAGGATTTGAATCCAAAAGATGCCTTTACAAAACATAAAATTTATCTATTTATTAATTATTTATTATTCCCTTACCTAGCCAGGGACAACTTAGATTTTTTATTTTTGTTTCCATAAACATACACAGGGATATCTTTGTACGCTCTGCAGTACAGTACAGTCACATTTATAGTAAACATTATAACAAGGATATCTCTGTTCATGTTTCCATAAACATACAAATGGATATCCTTGTACGCTCTGCAGTACAGTACAGACACATTTATAGTAAACATTATAACAAGGATATCTCTGTTCATGTTTCCATAAACATACATAGGGATATCTTTGTACGCTCTGCAGTACAGTACATACACATTTATAGTAAACATTATAACAAGGATATCTCTGTTCATGTTTCCATAAACATACATAGGGATATCTTTGTACGCTCTGCAATACAAAACGTCACATTTATAGTAAACATTATAACAAGGATATCTCTCTTTATGTTTCCATAAACATACATAGGGATATCCTTGTACTCTCTAGAGTACAGCACAGTCACATTTAGAGTAAACTTAATAAGAAGGATATCTCTGTTCATGTTTCCATAAACATACATAGGGATATCCTTGTACTCTCTGCAATACAAAACGTCACATTTATAGTAAACATTATAACAAGGATATCTCTGTTCATGTTTCCATAAACATACATAGGGATATCCTTGTACTCTCTGCAATACAAAACGTCACATTTATAGTAAACATTGTAACAAGGATATCTCTGTTCATGTTTCCATAAACATACATAGGGATATCCTTGTACTCTCTGCAATACAGAACGTCACAATACTGGAACGAATTGTCTGAATTTTTTTTAGGGAACCCATGATTACCCCGGGGGAAAACATTCAAATTTTTCTACAGAAACCAAGTTTTTTTTGTATTCAAAATATACAAAGGGATATCTTGGTTATCTAAAGATTAAGCATATAGTTGGTTTAATCCTTTTTCACCGATAAAATAAAATAAATAAAAGGATAAAACCAAACATGCATAATCTTTAAAACATATTTATACTAAACTAGTTTAAAATAAAAAAAAAATTATATATAAACCTTAAAATTTGTTTTATTCACTAACGATGCTTATGTAAAAAAATAACCCCACCTTGTATGTTTGCAACATATAGAACGTTAAACTTAAACTGTATTTTAGAAATAAATATTTAAATACTATAATAAGCTGTCCAAACGATGTATGGTAGTTGAGCGGAGTATGTAGTACTGTGATGAAATGCTTCAGGATTCATTTGAGACATATAAAACGTTTTAATGATGTATAATTACTGAGTTTGAGCGCGAAGCCGACGTTTAAAATTATGAATTTGGGCGGTTACGTTTTAAAAATCGATTTTTTTTAATTATCAAATAACGACGACGAAAAATGTATCACAAATTCTACAGTAAACTAATTAGATATTTAGGAACATATTTCTCAATAGATATTTTTCAATAAATCAATGTTAGAATCAATTATTTCTTTTTCATCATTATATTGAATTTCTTATTCTTTACGAATTTGTTCGCAGATTTTTACAAATTCTTCATATGTCGTCTTTTCAATAAAAATTTCAGAAAATCTGCAGAAAATGTTTGTGAAGAATGAGAGATTACAGAAACTAATAACTGAATAAAATTACTTATATTCGATGATTTAAGAGTTAGTTTTTATTTTCTCAATCTGCTCCTAAACAACTAATTAGTTTACCGTAGAATTTGTGTTACATTTTTTCGTCATTATTAACTAATTTTAAAAAATTGATTCTCAAAACGTAACCTCTAGCAACTCAGTAATTATACATCATTAAAACGTTTTATATGTCTCAAATAAATCCTAAAGAATTTCTCCACAATACTACATTCTCAGTTCAACTACCATGCATTGCCGGTCACTCCCTTTAACATACTAAAAAATCGTTTAAAGGGACTTTAAGCGTTATTTATAGAAAGATGTTCGATTTACAACGGTACCCTTGAAATCTTTATCTGGGAAGTAATGTGGAAGATATTGTCTTTTTTCTAATTTTTCTAATTTTTTAAATTATTATAATTCCCATATCTATATTCCTACAGTAAAATTGCTCAAGTCATTTTTGCAGAGAAACCACAATTTCCAAATTACTAACATTGATAGAATTCATACTTGAGCAGACAAAACTTTTAACGGTACCGTTATAAATCGTGCATCGTTAAATATCAAAAATATGTAAATATGAAAAACGTAATTAATTGTGACTTTTTCCTTTTGATAATATCTTCATCCTCGAAGTATTTCTTGCGCAAGCAAATATAAATTATTTTTGAAAATGCTTCAATTTCTGCGATGTAATTACAGTTCTAAATATAAAAGAAGTTACAATATTGTAGATAAAGGGATATTTTACAATAAACATGTGATTAGCGCAGCATTAACGGAAACTTGATTTTTATTATTATTATGATTTATTTATTAAGTTTTCATGAGACACTATATAGCTTGTTGCGTGAATTCCAAAATCAGTTGGTTTCCAAATATAACAAAATCAGTTGGTTTCTAAATATAACAAAACTAGCCTTAGAGAGCGCTTCGCGCCCATCTTCTAAATTAATTGTGAACATGTTCTCTTTGTGTACATCGTAAAACAAAACAAAAATAATTCGCGGATTTTCACAAAAAAATTCGTGGATTTTCAAAATTTTAAAAAATTTAATGAAGATCGAATTTTGATGAAGACAAATATTTAAAATTTCAATCATTCATAAACCTTCCCTGGGGTCCCTAGATGTCCCACAAAAAATTTGGGCCCGATCGGTTCAGTCGTTTTGACGTTTATTGGATACAAACAGACAGACAAGCAAACAAACAAACAGACAGACAAGCCAAACTTATATATAGATTAGTTGGTTTCCAAATATAACAAAATCAGTTGGTTTCCAAATATAACAAAATCAGTTTCCAAAATATAACAAAATCAGTTGGTTTCCCAAATATAACAAAATCAGTTGGTTTCCAAAATATAACAAAATCAGTTGGTTTCCAAATATAACAAAATCAGTTGGTTTCCAAATATAACAAAATTAGTTGGTTTCCAAATATAACAAAATCAGTTGGTTTCCAAATAACAAAATTTTGAATATTTTTAAAAATATGCAAAGTCTTCGTTGTTTTTGCAAACAAATGTAGAAACGTAATTTTTCCTTATGAGTATTTTTAATTTTTTTTTTTAATTAAAAAACTCACACCTCATATAATGTTTGGTTCTGTATTATTATTGACGTTATGGACACCCTCCTTATATGAATTGGCACCCTCGCGTGATTATAATTGTCCAGATTAAGTTAGGTTTTTATATCAGACAAAGGTAAAATGCATTAGCATAGTGAATTGGACATGCTTTACTCTTTAAGTTAGGAGTCATTTATAATAAAGTGAACAGTCCCTTTAAGAAGTGAAAAATATTTAATAATTTTTATTTACCTGGATCTTTTTCGTCTGCTGGGTTAAAACCTTTTTTTCACTCAAAATATTGAAACAAAGAAATTATTATGTTTTATAGATTTATAACAAAAAGTTTTTTGAATTATTCAAATAATTTATTCACCTGGTTTCATTTTTAAATTGACTAGGGCTAGGGTGACATGGTGAAAAGTGAAGAAGTATAAAAAAAAGAATAGTTTTCATCTGACAAGAGTGAATCTGAGACTTGAACTAGATTTATGATTTCACTAACTTAACTAACTGACATGGGAGCGACTCCTTTCAACAAGGCGGTTCGACTAATCACTTTACAAAAACAAGAGAAGCACCAAAAAAAATTGTTTCCCATATTTTGTCTTTAAAATTTATTTTCTCGACTGAATACAAAAAATAAAAAAATATTTTTTATGAAAAAAAAGAGTTTTCCCTCCCTGAGTACTGCTGGACTGTACTACCCATACCTTTCCTTATATTAGCAACATCAACTAGATTTATATTACAAAGAGACATTCTTTAAGATTTTTTATTGAAATTATATACAGGATGTACAAATACCTTATTATTTTTTAGCACCATAGATTTTGTACAAAAAATTAGTTTACAATATTAGTATGTTAAATATGTTATATTTACACCTGAAACATCACATTTCTTTGTCATTGCCACTTTATTTGTAAATAGTTTTGATTTAAAATTAAATTAAATTATTAAAATAGTGTCTTTAAATTACAATAAACTCTTTTAAATCTATAAGTTAACAATTTGTTTAACAATATTAATAAAGATTTTTAAATCTTTTAAATCTATAGAGATACATGGTGTCCCACGAAACATGACAGTTGGTGAATAGTTTAAAATGTCTTTAATAAAAAACTGTTATGTGGCAATAATATTTCTGTAAAATTGATTTCAAAGTATAGTATATTTGAAAAAAAAGATTTTCTAACGAAATAGACGGCAAAAAATCTTAAATATCTAATACAGTATACATAAGAAGACATGTCATGTTTTGTGGGACACCTTAAGAACTAAGAAATAGTGGAGTGATTTTCCTCACTTTTGCTTTTAATTTGAAAAAGTAATTTGAAAAATGCAAATTGCAGTTGTTTTCTTTACAAATATAAACCCTTAGTGGAATATGATATCAAAAGAAATGGCAAAGACGAAAATAGTTCCACTGAAAAAACAGCGTAATGGAAAGTTTTAAAACTAAATGGCACATTATCTCGGAAAAAGGTTTGCTCAAATTGACAAAATTTGGGATATCGTTGGAAGCAAATTCGTGTAAACGTACTGTCTGAGTTGTTTACAAAATAACACAGGGAGCAGCACAGCAGAGTGGTAGACAGATGGGGATAACAGCTGCCCCGCCCTTCTCATCGCTGTCAACCTTGGACTTGGACATTTTTGCCATCTTGGCGGATTCCCCGGCGTACATTCCCGTCTGCCTCGTCTCATACATCTCCTCTGTACAATTGTACATAAATATTTCGTAAAAATAAATGTTAAACATTACATCTCAACATGGTCCTCATCCTGTCCTATATTTTTTTATAGGACGCTTACCTGTAGGGTAGAAGACAGGAGGACCTTTCTTGTACTCAACATGGTCCTCATCGTGTCCTACATTATTCTTATAGGACGCTTACCTGTAGGGTAGAAGACAGGAGGACCTTTCTTGTACTCAACATGGTCCTCATCCTGTCCTATATTCTTCTTATAGGACGCTGCCATTAACTTCTCCATAGTTGCTGTCTCGTTCTTAATAAGAAACATTAACAATTATTTTCCATCTATCTGGAATATAATATATCTAGTAGCTAAAGTACCCGGCGTTGCCCGTCGAATATTAAAAATACTTAAAAAATAAATTTCGAATTTTGAAAAAATAAATTCGTAGTTTTTAGCCATGTTACCCAAGGTACCCATGGGTTTCCTCAATCTGTCATTTTGGTCCAGCCGTTTGGCCATCTATAGCTAACTTATATATTTATTATATAGATATTCCAAAAATGGCCCGGACCCCATGATTTAGTGAAAACGTATAACGTTGTATTTGATTTGAAACCTTTTACTAAAATGTTGGTAAATGAATGAGTTAAGACTGGGTTCAGATCAAAACCATGCTCTTAATTAGCCAAATAGTTTTTGATGAGTTATCGTTTTAATTAAAAAGAAATGTAGAAGATTTTTAAACCTAAATTCAATATGAAAGAAACTGCTAACTCACCCAAACTCTAATTTTATAATCCTTATATCTTTTCAACCTAAGTGTTACTACTTTCATATTTTAAACTTTGACTATTTGATGCAGAAAAATTTTAATAACAAAGTTTTACACCATCATGTTGCAAATACATAAGGATATAATGAGCGAGTGATACATTTTTTTCGATTTGGTTACAAATATTGATAATAACTAAAGATAAACAATTACTTGTGGGAAGTTTTAATACTCATTAATCCTTTAAAAAAGAATTTAAAATGTATTTTAGAAAAGTATCGTTCAACGATATCTTCAGCTTACTTGAAGGAAAAATAAATTCTTTTTATAGATAATCTTTAAATAAAAGAAACTTAAAGAGAATTACAAAACCCTTAAACCTGGTTTATCTTTTCTAGTTCTCGTTGATCAATGTTTGCTCCAAAACTGTTCAACAGTTCATCCGGTCTCTAAAATCATATTGTTATTAAATTTTAATTTCAAATATCATTTTTTAGTTGTTTAAAAAAATTTCTTTTTTATTGCAGGAAAAGTTTAAGGATGGGTTTCCAACCAAAGCAATTTTTCACAATTTTGCGATAATTTGCTCGAGGTGTACACAAAATTGCGCAAAACAAAAGAGCAATAATTTCGTTGGAAACCTTAGGAATCTTATTTAATCATAAATACTACAGAATTAATTGAACAAAATTAAATTAAATATCAAGTCCTTTTTCAAATTTATACGGTATACAATGTGGTTCCGACGAATAGCAAAAATTGTTCAAATTTATATAGTATATAAAAAGTGGTTCCGATGAATAGCAAAAATTATTCAAAATCAAAGCGTACACAGAAATAAACATAGGGGGAGGCGAAATATGCGCGAAGCGGAAAAAAATTGTTTTCCCCGAGGAGCTTCTAGGGGGGAGGGGGCAAAATTTGAACTATAAGTTCAAACATTTGGCTTCTTGCATATTTTAAAGGTACACATACAGTCCAATTACCTTGCAAGTACTACTTTATGTCTCCTTTAAACAAAACTAGCAGAAACAAACAGCAAACTAATTTTTTATGCTCTGCACTTTTCAGTTTCAGATTTGAAAAGTGTTATAGCTCTGAGTTCTAGGGGGGGGGGGGCACTGCTCCCTTGCCCCTCCTTTGCAGGACCATGTTCAAAATAATTCTATATATGTTTCGTGTATTTTTTACAGAGCACCTAGACCATATTTTTCTAAGACAGCAATTGCGAAATGTTGAACTAACGTCAAAAATATGTTTATCAATAATAAAACTAAATGTAAAAGCCTACATGTAGTATTTTAGGGTTAAAGTCATTTGGACCAAGTTTTGGTTTTACTGGACACTTTATACCGTCTTATAAGGTATTCCTTCCTTAAACTTCTATTCATGTTAAAGAGAGTATTTTCTAAAAATAAAGAACTATAGGATGCTGGATGATAATTAAGAACCCTTCTATTTCTATCCTATGTTGATTAAAGGTTTATTACATATGCAACGCTTTACAGAGAATTATAAAAGATACAGCTAGGAGTAGTATCTGTAAAAGATACAGATAGGAGTAGTATCTGTAAAAGATAAAGATAGGAATAGTATCTGTAAAAGATACAGCTAGGAGTAGCATCTGTTGATTCATATTTTAATCCTATACACTCCTTGATATTTTGATTACATTCCCTTTAAAGGAGTTGCTCCTACTTGCCAATTGCTCGTCCCAGTTTATTGCCAATTTTTAAGGACACTACAACAAAGTTTCTCGGGGAAAAAAATAATATTTTTAAACTAAACTTTGGTTTCGATCTTAAAATGTTAACAATTTAAAAAAAGTTAACAATGTAGTTGTGAACTTTAACAATGTTCTGAATTGATTTTTTCTATATTTCCTCAGCTTAAACATATTTATGGATTCACAAGTCTTTCAGAAGGTGCAATGTCCATCGACCCCCTCGCCATATACACGCCCCTATTGCTGTTATAGTTGGCATCTCTATGTTTTCCTAATTTTTACATGCTCTTAGATTTGAATTTATTTTTGACAAACAGGATGTTAGGTTAAACCATCAAGAGAGAGTCTTTAAACCATAAACTGTCAAACTAAACCAGGTTTCAATTAGAATAAACATATTTGCAGGGATAGTAAACCATCATGAGACATGTGTGTCCGTTTTAAATTCTTCAGCTCTTTGGGAGTTTTTGGGGAGTTAAGATACTTGACAAGAACTAAGGATTCTTTACACCTTATAGAATTCTTTAAGCGTTTTTAGTTTATATAGCAACTTATACAAATTTAAGTTTATGTAGCAAATTATACAAATTTTAGTTTATGTAGCAACTTATACAAATTTTAATTTATGTAGCAACTTATACAAATTTTAGATTATCTAGAAACTTATACAAATTTTAGTTTATGTAGCAACTTATACAAACTTTAGTTTATGTAGCAACTTATACAAATTTTAGTTTATGTAGCAACTTATACAAATCTTAGTTTATGTAGCAACTCATACAAATTTTAGTTTATGTAGAAACTTATACAATTTTTAGCTTATGTAGCAACTTATACAAATTTTAGTTTATGTAGCAACTTATACAAATTTTAGTTTAAGTAGCAACAACTTATGCAAATTTTAGTTTATGTACCAACTTATACAAATTTTAGTTTATGTACCAACTTATAAAATTTTAGTTTATATAGCAACTTATACAAATTTTAGTTTATGTAGCAACTTATACAAATTTTAGTTTATGTAGCAAATTATACAAATCTTATTTAGTGCAAGGAAAGTTATTTCAGAGGTGTACGCATCTTTTGTACTGCAATGTACTGTCTCTGGGCGGTATTGTAAAAACAAGACGGATGTCGAAGCCTGAAATGGGATCCATCTTTGACATAAAAAATTAATGAAAAATTCTGGTCATAGTAAACTATTATGTGAATTATCAAAATTTTCAAAATTTAATGCATTTAACCTCCCCTGATACCAAACGAACACTGATGCGTCTATTCTTGTTTACAAATTCCGCCCAGAGAGAACTGGTTTCAATAAGTACACAGAGTATACGCAACTGCAATTAACTTTCCATGAATTAAAACCTTGACTGAAGGGAGGTTGTTTTTGATATTTTATGCCAATTTATTAACAAAGTATGAGTTAAAAAGGCTTCACGTGACTCATACTCAATACAACATGTGGTCTTCCTTATTTGTATCATACTAGCCTTATAGGGCGCTTCGCGCCCATCTTCTAAATCAATTGTGAACATGTTCTCTTTGTGTACATCGTAAAACAAAACAAAAATAATACGCGGATTTTCACAAAAAATTTCGTGGATTTTCAAAATTTTCAAAAAATTTAATGAAGATCGAATTTTGATGGAGACAAATATTTGAAATTTTGATCATTCATAAACCTTCCCTG